CTAGAGGAGATCTGCATGGAGGAATGGGCCAAAATACCAGCAACAGTATGTGAAAACCTTGTGAAGACTTACAGAAAACATTTGACCTCTGTCATTGCCAACAAAGGGTATATAACAAAGTATTGAGATGAAATTGTTATTGACAATATACTTATTTTCCACCATAATTTGCAAATAAATTATTTAAAAATCCTACAATGTGATAAATACTTTTTTCCCCCACTGTATATATATATATATATACACGTCACACCTCTGTTCATCAATTTGCACTGGCTACCAACAGCTGCTCGCATAAAATTCAAGGCATTAATGTTTTCCTACAAAACCACCACTGGCTCTGCACCCCTTTACCTAAATTTATTACTTCAGAGTTATATGCCTCTAGAAGCTTGCGTTCTGCAAGTGACCGTTGCTTTATTGTTCATCCCAAAGAAGCACAAAATCCCTTTTATGGACTTTTAAATTAAATGAACTGTTCCCTCTTGGTGGAATGACCTGCCCAGTCCTTAGCTATCTTCAAGAATCGGCTAAAAACACATCTCTTCCATCTTTATTTGACCCTCTAACTCTAGCACTCTCTATTCTAATTCTGTTCTTAGAATAGGCCTCTCTTTTATCTATTTGTTTTCTTTTTATTTATTAACAAAAAAGCAAAAAAGGCCTCTAACTCTAGCTTGCTCTGTTCTTTTTTCTATTCTATCTGTTTTCTTTTTATTTATTATATAATTTTAAAAAAAAACTTGTGTACTGCGTTAAGCTAACTGAGACTTGTCATAGCACTTGCATATCATTGCTCTTTTGTTGATTTTGATTGCTTCCATCGTCCTCATTTGTAAGTCATTTTGGATAAAGGCGTCTGCTAAATGATTAAATGTAAAGGTAAATATATAAACAGGTGCATCTCAAAAAATTTTAATATCGTGAAAAATTTCCTTTTTTTAACATTTCAAAAAGTGAAACATTCTGTCACAGGATTAAGGAGGACTCAGGAGCAAAGGCAGGTCCAAACAGAAAGTTTATTTAGAAAAGGCAATTTAGGCAGTCTGCCGCTTTGGCCGAAACTGGCGGGTGCAGTGCTGGGAGAGAACTCAGAAAAAGGCACGTCTGTGAATCCTTGAAGTGCATCAACAGCGGAACTGGCAGTGGATTGGCAAAGTAAGGCAAGTGCTGTCCCCAGCCAGCAGACTCGACCCCGCTCTCAGTGACAGGACCGGCTCACACGGGCCACCGGAGAAAATAGGTAAGGAGCACCGGACACGACTGTACTAGACAGGACTTGGATGAGCATGACTCAGAGAGAGAATGGAGATTAACAGGCTTTCAACGGGCAGGTACCAACAATAATCTGGCAAAGAAACTGAGAGAGCAGCAGAGTAAAGTATCAGAGAGAATCAAGGTAAAGAGATAACAAGTGAGGGGCAATCAGCGAGAGCACCGATAGAAACGAGGAAGGATCAAACCTGTTAATTTATGTGCTCAATACTTGGTTGGGGCTCCTTTAGCACAAACTCCAGCATCAGTGAGGTGTGGCATGGAAGCGATCAGCCTTGTGGCACTGCTAAAGCACTATTGAGCATTCAGCTCATCTGTATTTGTTGGATCGACTGTTTCTCTTCTTTCTCTTGAAAATATCCCATAGATTCCATATGGGGTTCAGGTCAGGCATGTTGGCTGGCCAATCAAGCACAGTAATATCATGGTCAGCAGAGCACTTGGAAGTGGTTTTTGCTCTGTGGGCAGTGTGGGCAGGTGCCAAATCCTGCTGGAAAATGAAATCAGCATCTTCAAAAAGCTGGTCAGCAGAAGGAAGCAGGAAGTGCTCCAAAATTTCTTGGTAAACGGGTGCAGTGACGTTGGTTTTCAAAAAACACAATGGACCAACACCAGCAGATGACATTGCACCCCAAATCATCACAGACTGTGGAAACTTAACACTGGACTTCAAGCAACTTGG